CTGAACTCCGGGAAGGAAACTCTCCCTGAACCCGCATTTCCCGGCACAGGAACACCCTGAACCCCCATTTTCGAGCACGGGGAATCCCCTGTACTCCCTTCTCCAGCACCGGGACCCCCCTGCACCCCCTAACCCGGGACTGGGATCTCCCCGCACCCCCGTCAGTGCTCTGGGACCCCCTGCACCCCCGTTCCCGGCCATCCCGCCCTTCCCAGGCCCCAGTCCCGCCTTTTCCTCGGCTTTTGGATCCCCAGATCTCCCAAATTTTTGTGTCCTCCCAATTTTCCATTCCCGGCGTTTCCTGGAAGGGGTTCCAGGGGCTCCCGGAGCGTTCCCCCCACGCCCCAGGGTATCTCAGCGAGGATCCAGTGGGATCCAAATGAATCCCCTGGAATTCCCCTTTCCCCGGTCTCGCTTTAGCGGATCCCGGGGACGCAGCTTGGGAGACGCTGACACCTCTCCCAGCCCCAGCCCCCGCTTTTCCTTGAGCCCGGCACCCCCTGGACCCCCACTTCTGCCTTCCCCAGCCCCCACCCACCACCTTCCTCAACAGCGGGGCCCCGTGCACCCCTTCCCTGGGCCCGGGGACCCCCTGGTCCCCCCATTGCCCTCACCCCCCTTTTCTTGACCGGAGAACCCCTGAACCTCAGGTTCTGGGCATAGGGACCCCCTGCACCCCCTTATCCGCGACTGGGATCCCGTCCTGGACCCTCTTCCCGTGTTCTGGTACCCCCTGCCCACCTCCCCGGGCATCCCGCCCCTCCCAGGCCCCAAACTCGCCCTCTTCCTTCACCTTTGCACCCCCAGAGCTCCCAAATTTCCGTGACCCCCAGTTCTCCACTCCCGGCGCTTTCTTAAGGGGGGTCCCAGGGGTCCCCAGGTGGTTCTCAGAGGGCTCCAGGGCGGTCGCAGCGGGGATCCAGAGGGATCCGGAGGAATTCTCTGGAATTCCCCCGTCCCCCCTCCCTCGCGCCCTCCCCGGTCACTTTCGTTTCCGCGTCCCAACCTGTGAGGCCGGGATCTACCCGGCGACCGGTGACGTCAGTACCAGAGCCAGCTGCCATTGGTGGACAGGAAATAGCGGAGCCAATGGCGGGGCCGGAGGCGGCTCTGGGGGCGGGGCCAGGGCCAGGGCGGGGCCAGGGCAGTTCTCGGGGCTGCAGCGGAGCAGCGCCATGGCTCCAGCGCTGCGGCTGGGGCTGCTCTTGGGGCTCCTGGGGCTCCTGGCGGACCCGGGGAGCACGACGAAAGGTGAGTGGGAACCCCAAAACCGGGACCCCCTGAACTTC